ACTTTCCACTGCTCCAATTCACATTAAATCTTAAAATCAACTTATTCTATACAGCCCAGTAAGAACCAAATGCCTCAAAAGTTCATCCTGAAACAAAATGGGGTGGCAGATCCACAGATCAAGGATCAGAACAGGGCACAGCCCATCTAACCCGAACGTGCAAACACGGGTCAGGCTTCAGCATCTTGACTGGAGCATCTCCCCTAGGAGGAAAGGCTGAGGGAGCTGGGCTTGTTCAGCCTGGAGAAGAGAAGGCTGAGAGGGGATCTCATCACCACCTACAAATATCTCAAGGGTGGGGGTCACGAGGACGCAGCCAGACTCTTCCCAGTGGTGCCCAGCGCCAGGACAAGGGGCCATGGGCACAACCTGAAGCAGAAGAGGTTCCAGTTGAACGGGAGGAAGAACTTGTTGACTGTGAGGGTGCCCGAGCCCTGGCCCAGGCTGCCCAGGGGGGCTGTGGAGTCTCCTTCTCTGGAGATCTTCACCCCCCGCCTGGACGCTGTCCTGTGCCCCCTGCTCTGGGTGAGCCTGCTTGGGCAGGGGGGTGGCACTGGGTGAGCTCCGGGGGGCCCTGCCAGCCCCGGCCATGCTGGGATTCTGGGATTCAGAAGGAAACACTTACATTAGCGTCAGAGCTACCAGCTAGGTACGCCTTTGTGGTAAAAAATGCAGACTGGATCTATATATACTTTAGGGGTAATAATCTACTGGTAGTTCAGGTTAAACATTCCTGAAGTTTATTACCCACACAGGTAAAGAAAGGACAATATTTAAGTCCGAATTTTCCTACCTTTGTCTTCCAGCTGCTGAATGGTATTAAGCCCCAATTTTCTATATTAAACAGTAATACTATAATGACTCTTCCTCATGAAGATAATTACTAATTATAATCTCATCATCATTTGAGCTTCTCTTTGAATAAGCAAAAGGTTGGGCTTAATCTTTTGCCATAAAATAGGTTTTTATATGTAAAATTGTCTGCTATTTCTTGAGATGTGATGACCACAGTCATCTAACAACGTTACTTCTCATATAATTTCTTTAAGGCTTTTTGGGGAAGAGCTTTCAGTGCATGTATTTACAGCTGTCAGGGCAATGACAATTTTACGTTTTTCACTTAAAGAAACACAACCTTTAAAGGTGCTGCTTGGGGGAAGCTCCTTTCCAAGCACAGCACGCATGGTAACCAGTTTGCCTTTCCGGGGAGGAAAGGCATTGCAACCTCGAAGTCTTTTTGAGCCAGAAGAGAGGAGAATATAAGAAAAGTAGGACTGGTGCAAAGAGGCAAAAACCCCACGTGTTGAGGCCTTAAGGACAGCGCTGCCTCGTGTGCCTTCGACGGCGCCGGATGCAGTGGCAGCCATCGATAAATTAACGACGTTACTTGTGATCAAAGCAGTGCGGTTTGCCTATTCATACGCTTTTGCTATCTGAGGCAGGACCTTTAGAGGTCCTACCGTGCAGTTCTCCTATAAAAGCTTTAACGTTCGGAACACATCAGTGCGGAGGCGGTTGCTCCCGCCTGACAAACAAAGGTGCGTTACCCAAGAGGAGTGCTCCTTCATCTGGTGCTGGTTGCTGTGAGAACCGTTTGCGTGGCCACGCCAGAAACAGTTTTGACAGAGCTGGTAGTTGTGGCACTGCTGGCATCGGTACCGGAAGCCCATCATGCTCTCACACCGGCAGTACGAACACTCCACGGGATGGAAGACTTGGTGGAGATGGGGAAAAGGGCGGGGAGGAAAAAAGGGAAAAAAAAAAAAAAAAAAGAAAACTGGTAAGCAAACTTTAGGAAAACCTCGACCATCAAATTTCATTGGAGCTTCCAAAACCCACCCCCACGTTCTTAACCACTGAACCAACTTGTTATTCTGGGCAGGTCATGGATTTTGAGTGCAGAGCAGGTAATTTCAGTAAGAATCACTGTAAATTTAAGCTGATGATAACAGAGCAGATCCCTCTGACAAGTTCAATATTTCAGTTTTCTCCCTCCTCGGCTACACTTGGACCCAGGAGTCATGGAAGGCCAACAGCACTGAGAATACCGGAGGGGCCAGGGAGAGCAGAAAGGCTTTATTCAGGGGGGTTAACGTCTGCCCAAGGAGAGAGCTTTGCCCTAGTGCCAGAAGGGGCAAATTCAGACCATCGTGATGGCTTCTGCTCTCAACCACCTCTCACCACGGAACTTCCCTCACTCTTCCCCGATGGTGAGCTGCCTCTTGCACCTCTACAGCTTCAACTCCAAAATCCCCTATGCACCTCTAAAGTGTAACATCTTGAGAACTGGAAAATTAAATTAGGCATGAAGCAGGCTAAAAAAATAAATAAAGGCTTCTTCCATGTTCTCCTACCCATGAACAACCACAGCCTTGCTCCATTGGAGAGAAGGCTTCAAACTAAACAGAAGGGGAATGGGAGGATGAGATCGAGGAGCTGTCTTACTATGTCACATGCATCTTAAAGGTGAGGCACAGGAAGCAGAATGGAAGGATGAAGGTGAAGGTGAACCACAGGAGCAAACAGTTTAGCACTGCTGTGGGTCCAGAGCACAAGTAATTACAGACAGGTATGAATAACCATGCTGTGGAGAAGACCATGGGGGAAAAAGAGCAGCTGGCTGCTGGCCATCAGCTGAAATTCTTGGGTACATCTGTTATAAACGACTGAGAGATCTAAGAGAAAGAACTAGAAAGAGTCCGAAGTTTTGATCTATGATAAAAATTATGACTTGGCTGATCTAACTGAGACTTGGTGCAACACTGCCTGGGGCAGCAAAGTCAACGTAGAGAGATACAGCTGCTACGGGAAGGCTTGGCCAGGTAACAGCGCGGAAGTGCCTCGTACCGCGGGAGCGGATACAGACGCCAGAACTGTTGAAAACACAGGGGCAATAATTAAAGCAAAGACAACTTGAGCATTGACCTGGTCAGCGGTGCCATGGATAATTAAGCCAAGACGATCAGGCGGGTGACACCTTATTGCAGCACACAGCAACCCAGTATAAAGCACAGGACCTGATCGCGATAGGTGACTTCAGAGCACAAGTGCCCAGCAGGAATGCAAGGCAGAGGAACTGGGGACTTTTTCTTTTCTTTTTTTTTTAATAGAAGAGCTAGAGAAAGCAATGAAAGGGAAGAGTTTTGATCTTTATCAAGCAGTAGAGAAGAACTGGTTGAAAAAGAAGATGACAAGTGACCTTGAGCCACCATGCCCACAGAGAGGGTTTTGTGACTTTTAGGAAGAGGAGGAGAGAGAACCTGACCTCAACACAGCACATTTCAGTAAACTCAGGAGAATTAGCAGGCAAGCTACAGGAAGGAACAATTCCACAGGAAAACCGAGTTGGAAGGACTGCCAGTTCCTTAAAGAAACGATGCCGAAGAAACATGAAATTATCTCGGGGCAGAGACAAGGGCAGACTGTAGCAAAAAACTAATGTGGCTAAAATTAAGAGCTCCACAATAACCTCCACAATAACAATAAGTTCAAAAGGAAGCCTACAGAAGCAAAAACTGGGACAAATTATTCATGAGGGTTGAAAGAATAATTCAGATATTCAGAGACAAAGTCAGAAAAACAGAGCAAGGGAAAACTAGCAGGGGGGTTAAAAGGGACATTACAGGAATTGTAATTATGGTCCTTAAAAGGCTGTAAAATCACACCTACGTAACTCCTGACTTCTCACGCTGGTTTAGCTTGCAGAATACATAGCGGAACGATTAATAAGACAAAGTACTGTAAGCACCTGAAGAACATCAGAGAAATGAGCCATGGACACCATTTGCCAAATCAACCTAACGCCTTTCGGTGGCAGAGTAATCGACCTTGAAAACAGGGAACAGGCACCAAACGCCATCAATTTTTTCATTTTACTTCAGTAGTTCTTACAAAATTGATCTCCTGTGACACTCTCATGGCAGAAGGGACTACACAATAGATGAAAGGACTGACTCAGGTGTGAATGTCATCAGGAAAAAAACCAGAGAGCAGTTAAGTGTCAAAATGGAAAGATCTACTGAGCAAAGGGCTCCGTTCCAGGTCACGGGCTGGTCAATACTGTTCATAACCATACTGAACGATCATCAGAAGTGTCTGGTTTGGGGCATCGCGTTTCCAGGAAGGTGTGGGTTAATCATACGTACAGCGGAAAGCCATCGAATTGCCTGCACAATACCTAATAGACATCTTCGCTCGGAGCAGACTGCGAGAAGGTATCCGCAAACATCAAGAGGTACTTACAAAAATAGCAACACATTCTCCAGAGCCAGTGGCCAAAACCCAGGCACTTAAGGGTTTAAACTGCAATAAGAAAAAACTCGTGCTAGAACATCAGGGAAAAAACCTTTCTCCCCTAAGAATATTTAAACAGTGATCTCACCCCAGCTGCAGGTGCAAGGAGGTGTTGAAGCTTTTTGATAGAGGACTTTAAGAAGCAGCGAGGCAAATCTTTCAAGAATGTTTACATACCTTCAAGCTCATCTTTTGAACGAGCGGTGGATGAAGTCACCGGTTCCCAAGGCTTTTTGAGTTTTGGCACGCAACCCCCCCGCCCCCGCACCCTCCCTCAACAGCCTTTGTGCTCGTGGCAGGGTTGCTGCCTCCTGCTAAGCTACAGCCTTAGGTCACCACCTTAATGACAGCCCACGTACCGGCATCCGCTGGCCGCAGCGAGTCCTGCCGACCTCTGCGTACCGCTCCACCCTGTCTCCTCTTCCCCACCTCTCCAAAACGCCTCTCACCTCCTCTGACCCTATGCGTTTAGAAGAGGTTACTACTGAGGAGAAGGGGATGAAGGTACTAGAGAGTCCTGAACCAAAGAATCCAAACCTTGACACTGATACGCTTGGTTTAGGGAAGCCATAACAGCGTTCTGGTAAAATAAAATGCGAGGCAAAATAAGAACGGCGACAGCACTCGGCGTACTGCAGAAGGCATGGTCCCGAAATGGCTGGTAAGAGAATACTGGAACAAGCAGTGGCAGTGGTTATGAGATCACGGCAAGGGATCTGGCCATCAAGACAGAAACCAGAGGGTTTGGGTTGGGGTTTTTTTGTTTGGTTTGGGGTTTTTTTTTTGTGTGGTTGTGGTTTTTTTTTCCTGGAAGTGACAAAGTTTGGCTATGGTTGGGAAACAGAAAAAATGAAGTGGAACAGCATGATTCCTCCCAGTACCGACCCGCTGCCTGCCCCTTCCTGGCTGACTGGCAGCTGGTGTGCCATGATCAAATGTCGGTATTACTCTTTTCCCACTTTTTTTTTGTTCATTTCTGAAGGCCAGAAAATATGGTGTTGCAAACTTGATTTCTCTCCTCTCCTGTCCAGATCACTTTCCCTGCTCCCATCTCCACAAATCCAACTGCCGTTGCCATGAGGTAGTCAACTGAAGATGTTTTTCCCGTCATTACCATGCCCAACTCCCAAGACTTGAACCACCATGACCCCTGCTGCCTATGGACTGTAGGAGATCACCTCATGTCCCGATCCATTTTTCCTCTCTCCTTCCTACTATTCCTTTCTTGCCTCTGAAACCCTTGTTCTAACCAAAATGCTCGTGCTTCATTTTCTGCGCCTCAGTGATCTGAACGCTTTTTTGTCATTGTCACCTTCCCTTTTGAAGGTGTCCCGTCACCCAGAGCTCCCTGCCACATATGGGAGTGGGAGTTTTAAGCTTCTTTCCACCTTTCACTGCATCCAAGTCTTCAGTCATTCCCTTTTCTGGCTGCCAGTACT